CTTATATCCGTAGAACAAATTTTTTTCCATCTCCATCCCCTCTCAAGTCGCCTCTTGAAATTTGTAAAATTTGAGTTTTTGACACTTTATATTTCCGAAACCGCAAGCTTTTTCTAAATTCCATGATATTAAAAATATAATTATTTTATTAACTCACACAATTAACCCTTAAACTCGAGCATTATGTTAACCCCACTTTATATTATTTTTGCTTTATTTCAAAGAGTGCAGAAATCATTCATATAAATATATGCAATCCTAGAAATGGTTTTGTATATGAATGAAAATAATTTTAATAGTGTGATAGGTATACAAAGACTGTATTTAAAAGCAGAATTTTCACTTGTTGAAGGGAAAAGTGTTACAATACAAACCATTGACCCAAATTTATTTGTATATAATAGATTTGTATATGTTTGACCCAAATTTATTTGTATATAATAGTAGATTTAAACAAGTAGAAACGTTTCATTCGGTATTAACCGACTGATAAATACCCTGCACTTTGACCATCTGAGTTTAAAAATTCGTTTTTGAAATATCTAGAAATAACTATAATTGCTAAATGGCAACTTCTTGAACCTGTTAAGCCACTTAATAGAAACTTCAGGGATATTATATCTGACCTGTAAGTGTAGGACTCCCGAGTTTTATGAATCTAGCCTTAATATTTTTCCAAATATTGAAAATTAACTTTCGGAGCTGTATTGCAGCTACCCGAACCAGTGGAGTCATTCTATTAAAATTTTCAGAACATAATTGAAATGTAATTGGACACATTCTTGTAAAACTTGATGTTAGTATCTCTATCACTTTTTGAAATATTTAAAAAAACCTCTTTGAGTTGTATGGCAGCTACCCGAACCTGTTATTCGAGTTGGTCCAATTACAATAGCAGCCGTCGTTGGCACAAAAGAAAAAACTTGTGAAAGTTTGGTGCCGATTGCCTTATTCGTTTTTGAGTTATCAGGCGATCGGACGGACGGACGGACATGTCTAAATCGACGCAGAATTTTGCGCTCTGGGCAAGAATATATGTATACAAGTCCATACCGGAGACGATTCCTTGAAGTGGTTACAAACTCCATACCCAGGTGAATATTCGCTTCACGAGGTTCAGTGTATAAAAATTAATTTTGAAAAGACTTTATTTACAATGTAATTTGTTGAACTTTTATGTTTGTGTCCCTTTTCTTATGTGATTTGTTCATTAAAAAAAGGTTTTTAATGCAATTATGTTTTTTAAATGTATAAAAAATTAACATTTAGAAAAAAAATTCAATCAATACAATATGCCATGAATTTTATTAAAAACTAAAAGAAGATTTTATCAAAGTTTTTCTTTACATTTTGTACAGAACGTATAAGAAGACAGAAAAAAGCAAAATAATACAATAATCTGTTATTGTACTGTTAATTTGCCAAAAAAGTTAAAAGCGTATCGATTCTCTTTGTTTTATATTTGTTTTATCACCAATCCACTAAGAAGAAAATCGATAGATCTTATTAAGCGACTTGGTTTTCCTGATTTAGCGCTGAAATTTTAAAAATTCTGTAGTACCAGAATTGAGTATTTAATGAATTTAAAAAAAATTTTATTCTAAAAATTCTAGTTATAAAAGGACGTCAATAAAAAAAGAAAGGTAAATGTGACAAATTTATTTGTGTATATAAAAGGTTTTTGCTGGTAAAAAAAACCAATACACACTTGCACAGAAACCGAGGCGTTTGTAATCGTACAAATTACGGGCTATACGAGTATGTATAAAATCAATTTTGTTTTGTGTTAGAGAATTTTTGCTTCCATGTGAGTGGGAATGCTTATACATACATAATGTATGTTTTGAAACGAAACTAACAATTATCCCAATAATCAATATTTTATGAGCTTTTCAAAATCAATTTTTGATTTTACTTTTATTACAGTCTTTTTAACTAAAATCGAAATTTTATCATATTTTTAAATATTAAAAATTCAATAGACAAAATCCAATAAATCTTAAAAACCAGTCATAGAAATACTGAAATAAAAATGCCTACATAAAGCTAATTTTAAATTTGTGATGCTAAATAAGTTTATGAATTAGAAGCTCATAATATGCGCCAAAATAAAGCACAAAATATGCTTTTAGCAGTTCCCATGACCTCAATAATGCCTTTACGACGTAAACTTTACAAAGTATCACATTCCAAAAATTTTACTAAAAGCTCTTAACATTGTACGATTTTTCAAAATGCGTTCTATACGTAGTGCATGCGTAAAATAAAAGTAAATTGGGTATCAAAAATAATGTCTTTATATATAACAAGTCCCAATACTCAACTTTTTTTCCGAAATATTACGAATTTTTGGCTTCGTTCCTGTTTTTTTCTTTAAATGCTACTGATCGTGTCATATTTCTTATTATTTTTTTCTTTTTTTTTTACGTAAAAGAGAGTTTAATATTTTAAAAAATCTCAGGATATTATACACATTTTTTAAAAAGCTTCCCATTTAAATTCTATTGCACGAAAAAGAAAGAAAGGTAGGAGGAAAGAAAAAATGATAAAAAATTTTAAATTCATATTTCAGTATGGTTTCAAATGTTAATGAGGAAGGATGTATGATTTTTCATGCACATTTTGTATTTCCCAATAAGGTAAGTTGAGTAGTGTCGGCTAACAAAAATGTTAGTAAAAGTAATATAGGTTGACACATTTCAACAATTTGAATTATCTCATTTCGGTTATTTATACGTTACTTATAAAATTGTTTCAAATAATTTCAGTTAGTTTTTAAGTTATTAAAAATAAACATGTATGTACATACTTCCAATCAATTTTTTTTAAAAAATTATTTAAAAACTATTTCAAACATGTTATATTGAGTGCTTCAAAAATTTTGCTGTGCACTTCTTTCATATTTTATTAGCAGGTAAACAAGAGCAATCTATTTATAAAATGGCCCTGCCTGTGTATGGTTTTAATAGTAAACGCAAACGGACAAAAATTTACATCAGTACCTACTACCTGTCATTTTACAATCGGAGTTTTTGAGTCATTTGCTACTCGTAAGATAATATTTATTTCAAAAATAAAAAAAATATTTTATTGTCTTTTCCAAACCTTTTAAATATTTTTTTACTTAGGTAAAAAATTTTCTCACAAATAGAGGTAAAATTTAGAAGTGTATATAAAATTTGTATTTAAAAAATAATATTTGATTGTATTTTAGATATTATTTTCTAATTCCCTCTTAAAATTTTTTCTTTACTATGTATTTATATCAATATTCAATAATTATCTTTCATTAATTATATTTTCAACTTGACACAAAAGTTACTTCCCATATCTTGAGTTAACTTACCCTATGAGAAAAAAAAGCTGTTCATTTAAAAATAATGAAATGCTTTCAGTAACATATAAAACGTTGAAGGCGAAGGTTGTGCTTGTTGTTTTTCCGCAATTTCAAGAATTTTAAAGTGGTTATGAATGAAAATATTAATATATTTTCTTGATTTTCCAAATATATTTTTAGAATTTTACCTGCTTTATAATAAGTGTAAATTTATTTTAATATTTCTTCTCAAAACCCATATAAAATAAGGTCGTGCTTTCAAATTTCGCTCTGAGCATTGGGACTTGTTAGATATAAAGACATTATCTCAAAAATCGAGCACACTTTTCTTATATATGTCATATATGTTACCAGAAATGACCAATTAAATAAACTAGCATATATTTTCAGCAATAAAGTGCTAGTTATTATGTTTTTTTTCCTAAACTGCAGCATAAAAATGCTATCTTTTTATTGATACGGTAACGTTTGTTAAAAATAAACATTTGCACAGAACCCGTTTGTTCAATAATGTTTTATAAAAAGTTTAAGCACGGTATTAATCCGATTGTAGTACCGTCTCAGAGCTTTCAATACCTTTACATTGTAAAAAAAAAACTGTTAAAACTATTGACACATTTTGTAATACAATTTTTACAATATTAATGCATACTTTGAGGTTTTTTTAAAAATTTCTATTTAAAGTTCTGTGCAAACGTTAATTTTCAACAAACTTTACATCATTAAAAACAGCATTTTTATGCTGCATTTCAAACAAGCTGAAAATATTTTTCGAAATTTTGAATGGGAAAAAAATACAAAACAATTTTTAAATATTTTATGTTTTCGAAGTATGCCGATTGAAATATTTTTATATTTTTTTTTGTGAAATTTATCTTTATAGTCTTATTTTATTTTGTATAGTTTTTTTTAATTATTACTTTTTTGTTGTTTTTTTTTTCAATTTATTTTTAAATTCTATTTTTTATTCAAAATTTTACTCTGTAATCAGTACCCTTCCCCTTTAGAAGACAAGAAAGGTTGTCTGTAGAATTAGTAAAGTCAAAAATATTGATCATATAAATAAATTGCAACGCACCTTCCATTTAAACTCCATATAAATTTGGAACTTGTTTTTGATTTGTTCTCTGAGCTTGATCGCCTGTACATATATATGGAATTATGTATATATAAAATTCTATTCAAATTTGTTATTTGTGAAAACCAAATAATAAATAAATTCAGTTGAAAATTTCATTTCCTCTTGTAAGTAGAAAAAGTCTGGTATAAGAAAGTTTTTAAAAACTTTATAAGTTATTGCATGCAAAGTGTATGGGATAATTCTCTTTGAACAAAATTTAATTTTCTCAATATTCAAAGTTTTTCCAATTTTTCTAAAGTAAAATTTAGTGTTTTAAATACTTTTAAAATCTTACGGGTGTCGAAGGATATGCTTTCCTTGATTATGTTAAATTTTTTCATCAACAATACCTTTTTTTTTAAAACTTTTCAATTAAAAATAAAACAACCAAACTGGGTTCACAAATGGTTTTATAGTTATAAAAGTTTTACACTTTCATAACTCGAAATCAAAATTTTCGGTTTTTGGTGTAACCAAAAAATATTTGTATATGTTTGATAAATACTTTGAAATTAGACGTTTATCACATATTTAAAGCTTTTGAAAGGTTTTTTCAAGTTTTTCGCCTGGTTTATTTTTTTTTTAAATGAGAATTTTTTTTCTTTTTACGAGAAATTTTGTTATTGTTTCTCTTTTTAAAATTTTTCCAAGTTTCATCCCAAACAGACCTAATGTAAGGAACCCCTGGTGCCCATACTTAAACTTGAATGGTACATAATTAGTTTATACATTACGGGACAATTCTTATCTTCATGAGTTATGCCGGGCATTTTGATTAAAGAGCCAGCCTGAAAGTAGTTGCAAGTAGGATTTTTAAGTTCAATAATGTGTTGCTAATTTTCTAAATGTATAAAAAAGGTTAAAATTATGTAAAGAAGATAAAACAAAATTATTATGTATATAAAAGTAAAATATTTTTTTCATAAAAAAATAATATTGAAATATTATAAAATAAGTTAAAAATATAATCTTTTACATTTTTAAACTAAAACAAAATACTTAAACTGTAAAACTATAACAATTACGTTATAAAAACTAAATAAACAAAAATCGTGATTAATGAAGTTTATGTCTCAATATTTATATTTTCATTTTCTTCTATTCTAAGAAAAAACTTATTCTATTCTATTCTATTCTAAGAAAAAATAGAGAAATATAAAATTTCTCTATTTTTAATATATACTCGTATTATAAGATTCTGCTATTTTCATCACACGATTAAGCTAATTTGAAAGTAGGTAATTATTAACTTATGGAGTATAATAAAGCTGCAATAATTTTATACATTCTTGATTACATCATTTTATCGTATATTGCTAACTTTACATTCTGAGACTTGCAGATAAAAATTATATTGATAATAAAATAATTAAGCATATATTGTAACTGTAAAAAAGTATTGAATATGTAACGTGCATTTATTTTATTATTTTATACTACCCATTTTCTTTCACTTTTAACTTTTCAAACTTTGTTAAATTAATTTTAATTTCTAACAGTATCTACTTTAATAAAAGCAATTTAATACTCTTGTTCAAAAAAATCAATACTTTCACAGTATCATAATTTGGGTCATGCCAAATAACAAAAAACTTATCGTATTTTTCTAAAAAATATTGTCGATTTTTTTCTAAATTAGTCTTAGAATAAATTACTTTATTTTTTTCTTTTTAATATTGATTTTAGAACTAAATAATACATTTTAACACTCAAATATTTATGCTAAAATATTTTTTTATTAAATAACAAAAATTTTTAACTAGGGATTAATACGGTATATTTTTTTTTGTGTTACCTAACATAATTTAAAAAATGTCTTTTTCTTAATAATATTTAGAAAAAAATAATAATTTATTTGTTCTCTGTTTCTGATAATGCTATATGGGAGTTTTTTAAAACTAAAAACAAATAATATTGATGTAATTGATTTTAACAAAAATTTTTTTCCAATTTACAAAACATGTAAATTTTCACAACTTTTTGATTTTGAATCTCGAGCCCATACTCTTCCCAGTAATCCTTTTACCTTAAGACTGGCTGATGTTCTGGATCCTCTGTACTTACGTGGACTAAAATAAGAAAAATCAAATTTTTATATTAAAAAACGTATACTTATGTGCATATTCATGTGATATATACATATGACAAAATATTCCTATAAATTTATTTATAAAAAAATTATTTTTAATAAATTTCATGAAAAATTTCAAATTTAGTATGTAAGGATTTTTATCAATTATTTGACAACGTAATCTAGATATTTTAAAGAATTCTTCATTATGTTATACCTAAATTACGATACAAATGAATGCAAATTTAAAAAATCTGATGTGGTCAGCACATAACCGACCGCAATGTGTATTGTCTAGTTAAATGAAAATGTTACAGAATATTATAAAAATGTCTGTTAAATACTTCTTTTCAATTTTTAGGACATTAGTAAGCTTATAGTTAACATAACCTAGAAAAATGTAAATTTGGCTCTTAGTAGAATTTCGCTTTGTATTACCGGAATTGTTTGAAATGCTCGCCAGTTAGTTTCGCTAACAACCAGAGCTCAAATATCAAATTTCAAGAAATTCTATCAATTCGTTCCGTAGATATGGTGAAAAATGTAAAATCGGCCCGCAAATCAGTTTTCGAGCCCTGATCTTTCCAAAAAATTTATATGTTCATTGTTTTAACACGAGGAATTCAAATATTAAATTTCAATGAAAGCGGTTGATTATTTCTCTTTATATACACAAAAATGTATATTTGGCCGTCCAGTTGCTGATACCTGATTTCTTCCAAAATTTAGGAGGTTTCGCGGACGGTCTAGTGAAGCTTATATATAAAATTTCAAGTAAATTGGTTGAATATTTTCTTCAAAATGGTCAAAAATGTAAAACAGGCCCGCTAAAAAGTGCAGTTCCCAAGGCCTGATATTCGACCAAAAGTTGATCACTCCGTGCCATGGTCGAAATAAACTTACATACAAAATTTCATCAAAATCGTTTCAGCTGAACTTGAGATACACGCGTGCAAGTTATATATCCTCTTCCAGTATAGACAAAATTTCAATACTAATTAAGCGATACTTTTTATTTTCTTTATTTTGTATTTTCTAATGATATATCGCATTTCAATATAACTCAAAATATACTTTTTGTTTTTCTCGTTTTGTTTTTTTGTTATTTAAATCACACATGTTGGCTTAAGCCGTCGTACTAAGAGTTATGTTACATAACTAATAAAAATAGAATCTAATATTACAAACATTTAATATAGTTTTTTTGTTTCTTGTATAAAATTTATGCATTGAAATTATCGCTTAATAAACTATTCCGTGTGAAAATATTTCTAAAAAAAAAATAAAAATCTAATAATTTCGTGTGAAAATATTTCTAAAAAAATAAAAATCTAAAAAATAATTCTTTTCAGCAAATTGGTTTCCTAATGTAAAATAAAAAAAGAAAAAAGTAAAAACAAATTTTGCTTTTAAATATTTTTTGTGAAAGCAAGGAAAAACTATAACTTGGTTTAATTTTTCTTTTCTTAAAAATTGAGAGTCGAAAATTGATTGTCAAAGAATTAAGTTTGAATAAAAAGTTTTTTTATTAAGCGAGAGAAAAAAAAAGAATATTAAATAATTTTTGAAAAGTGGATATATAATTAAATTAAGTTTTATTTTTTTGTAATAACTAAAAGAAAAAGAAATTAATAAAATAAAAAAAAAATATAACAATTAATATTAAAATTGTTTTAATTAATCGAAGAAAAAGGAAATTAATTAATAAATAGTAACAGGAACTTTTTTGTGATTTGTTAAAATAACAAATAATACAAAAGTGGCGCAGTCGGTAGGATACCGACACTGCTCCATATAATAAAACAAAAATAACAAATCGAAATACAGTTAAAAATAAAAAAGAAAAAAATAAAAAACAGTTCGCGAAAACAATATTTTATTAACTTTGCAAAAAAAAAATAAATAAAATAAATAAGTAGTGAATTACAAAAAAACAATCATTTTACTATACTGTATTCGAGTTATTATCATTATTATAAAAAGTGAACAGTGTTACTTTCAAGTATTTATCGGTAAAAAGAAATAAATAACCTGTTACTTATACTTAATGAGCGATTCTGATTTAGGCGGAATTGCATTAACACTTCAACAATTAAAAATACAAAATAATAATCATAAAATGGTACTCTCAGGCTTTACCTTAAGTGATGTGGTAAGGGAAGCCAGAAGTGACCCAGAATTCACCGGTACTGGACACTACGAGGTATCCAGTTTCATCAACGAAGTGGAGTCTTTAACAACGATGTTAACCGACGCAGAACACAAAAAATATGTACTGAGGATATTGCTCGGAAAAATCCAAGGGCAAGCGGCGATATCCATTAGGAGACTCAACGAGGCAACATGGGAACAAATAAAAGCACAGCTCATTAAATCATTTGGGGTACAAGAAACATACCTAAAATTGAAGGAAGAAGCAGAAAAAGTCTAATTCCGAACGGTAAGCCAAATTTATCACGATCTTAGTAATATATTAGACAAACTAAATTATAAGTACCATACTCTAAAACCTATTGATTACAAACCGACGTGTAATGAAAGTAGTATATTGGAGAAATTCCTTTCAAAAATAAATAGGAATGACTCTATTTATTTAAGAACAAAAAATGTCGAAAGCTTGGAAGAAGCTTATAACGAATTATTACAAACCGGAATTACGGTTAGTCGTAATAATTCCAGTGTAAATGCTAGGTCAACTCGTTCCAATAGCAATTTTCAAAATAGTAATTACAGTCGCGGTAACAATTATAACAATAATAATAATTTTCATAATAATAGTAACAGCTTTCAAAATAATAACAGCGATAGATTTAACAATTATGATTGCCATGGTTATCGCAGCCAATTCTCTAATAATAATAATAACGACCGTGGTTATCGTAGCCAAAATAATAGAAATTTTTTTTCGAATAATAACCAAATTAATAGAAATTTTTTTTCGAATAATAGCCGAAATTCTCAAAATTTTTTTCCAAATGACACAAATACAAACAGAAATACTAATTTTGATAATAAAAGACCGCGAAATAATTATCGAAATTATGAACCAATGGAGGTCGATTATAATACAACCAACCACAATAATAACTCAAGCCAACGTAATAATAATACGGAAAACTCGCGTAACATAGAAAATTTTCGAACTTCACGCCTCACCACCAATTACCCATAGCAGAACTTACCATAGAAAATATGAAAATTAATTGTCTTATAGATACTGGTGCTGCTATGTCAATAATAAATCCAAATATTTTTCCAGTAGAAGGGCAATCGCAATTAAAAACGCCCATTTATTTAGCTACCTTAATGGGACATAGAATTATACGGCGTGAAATTATCACGAAAACTCCTTCCGAATTTAACGAAAATAGAACGATGAGTTGGAAAGTTTTTAATTTAAAGAATAAAAATTTCGAAGCCATTTTAGGCCAAAATGTGCTTACACCAATTGGTGCCAGGATCGATTTATTAGAAAATGCGATCGAAGTTTATGGTATTAAAACCAAATTTAAATATGCTTGCCCATATAATGAAGTTTTCCAATTAGGAATTTTAAATATGAACCATTGCGATTTATTTGGAAATTTAAAAACTGAACATATGAACACTGAAGAATGTAAAATTTTAAAAGGGATATTATCAAAAAACAATGATTTATTTTATAAAGAGGAAGATACTCTTACACATATAAACGAAGTAAAACACCAAATTATAACAAAACATTCACGACCAATATATTCGAAAACATATCGTTTTCCTAAAATACATGAAATTGAAGTAGAGAGATAAGTAAAAGAAATGATCACTCAAGGTATAGTCCAACCTAGTAATTCCGCATATAGCTCTCCGATCTGGGTGGTTCCAAAGAAAATGGATAACCCAGGTTAACCTAGGTGGAGAATCGTAGTCGATTATAGGAAATTGAACGAAATTACAACGGACGACAAATTTCCTATTCCGAATATGGACTCCCTTTTTGACAAGTTGGGTAGAGCTCAATACTTTACCACTTTGGACTTGGCGAAAGGGTTCCACAAAATTTTAGTTGATGAAAAGGATAGGTGTAAAACGGCATTTTCGACCCCCCAGGGCCACTACGAATTTCTTCGTATGCCCTTTGGGCTGAGAAATGCCCCCGCTACCTTCCAACGCGTCATGAACCATGTTTTAAGAGATTTAATAAATAAAATTTGCGTCGTTTACCTGGACGACATATTGATTTTTTCGACTTCTCTACAGGAACATTTGGAAGCAATAAACATTATATTTAAACGACTAAGACAGTACAATTTAAAAATACAGATTGAGAAATGCAATTTCTTTTCAAAAAATACTGAGTATTTAGGTCATACCCTCACGCCTAATGGTATAAAGCCTAATGACAATAAGGTGAGGGTTATCAAAGAACTCAAACTACCTACGACTAGAAAACAGATAAAAAGTTTCCTTGGCATTACGGGGTACTACCGCAAATTCATAAAAGATTACGCTGCGGTAGCTAAGCCCATGACTAATTATTTGAAAAAAGATAACAAAATTGACATTCATAAAAAAAATTACGTTTTGTCTTTTGAGAAATTAAAAGAACTTATAACGAATTATCCGACTTTAAGGTATCCAGATTTTAAAAAACAATTTATACTAACAACAGATGCTTCAAACTTTGCAATTGGTGCCGTCTTCTCACAAGATGGACACCCAATTTGCTTTGCAAGTCGAACTTTTAACGAGCATGAAACTCGTTATTCTGCGATAGAAAGAGAACTTCTCGCAATCGTTTGGGCAACCAAATACTTTCGCCCATACTTATATGGCACTAAATTTATTATTAGAAGGGACCATCAACCACTTGCGTGGTTACTTTCACTCAAGGAACCCAATTCCAAATTACAACGTTGGAAAATCAGGTTAAATGAATATGAGTTCGACATAGAATATTTAAGAGGCAAAGAGAATAGGGTTGCTGATTTTCTCAGCAGAATAAATACAAATAAACAA